GTCGAAATGGTCTTGCCATACATGGGTCCAGCCTTGAACATTCCCTCAAAGTTGCTATCAGCAGAGATTTCTTCACTGTTGATTCCAGACATACCAGTGTGCTCTAGAGCAATATTGAGACCAAATGGGCTTGTGGCTTCAATCTTGCTGCTTGATCTCAAATTGATTTTGTCTGTGACTGTTGCATCCTCAACAATAGTAATACTGGCTTCAATGAATTTGTGTGCGAAAGAGCTTTTCAACTGGGCCTTGATGGAATCTGTGGTGGCCAACATTCCAGAGCCTAAATAAAACACAAAGGAGAAAAGAAGATTGATAACTGATATTTGCATTGCTTTTTGACAAATATACACAATCAATTAAAAATCATCAGAGAACAATGTAACATTTTAGCTGAACATTAGTCACATTGTCATTCTATCAGTGGAATTCAAAACCTGTAACTGATAACTGTTCTACCAAGAACAAACAACTAACCATTTAACTGTGAGTTAAGGATAACAATGTAACAAATTCTAAATTAATGAATGATATTTTATATAATACCTTCAATCTTTATTGAGAGGATGTCAAGTGGGGAGGTTCCTTTCACATCAAACTTAGCTGAGTAGCTTGGTGTCTCCACCACATCTTTGCCAGCAGCCATTGAGGCCTCCATGTTGTATAGGTTACTTCTTATTAGAGATGAAAGCTCAGCTTTGCCAAAAAGAGGAATAGACAGAGTAAGGCTCTCAGGTACAACAAGCTCTGGGATGGGAATCTCCATGGAGACAATCTCCAGTCCAAACTGGGGTAGAGACATGCGAGGTGTGGTCAAAGCTGGTGGGAAGTTAAGCTCTTCTGTTGACTTTCCTCCAAGAGGGAGAGGGATAGCGATGGTGAAGCGCTCATTGTTGAAGTGGTAGACAGCCTTTGCCTCACTGTTATAAACAAACAAACAAACAAACAAACAAAACAATTAATAATGTTTCAAAAATTAAATGTTTTATCTATTTATTTATTTCAGACTTACGTATTCAAGAACAGTTTCTCTGGCAGTGAAACCTCAGGAATATCAGGCACTCTGAAGCTCTGAATGTAAGGGATGTCAGCAGCATAGCTTTCAATGTGGTTGTTTGTTGCCTGTGGAATAAGGAATGTATGTTTTATACATTTCAAATCAAAGATCTGTCATTTTAAATAACTGTGAAATCAGAGATTCTTACCTCCACAAATGCCTTAAAAGTTTGACGGATCGTCATGTCAGTCTCCCCTACCCGCATGTCAAGAACATCATTACTATACTTTTTAATCTCGTCAGTGTATGGAAGAATGTCCAAGATCTCCGAGTCCACATCTGACTTGATTTCAACCTCAATCTTGTTGGTATCTGTAAAGAAAATGTTGAAAAGAATGCTGACGCATTAGAAAACATTTCTTTAATGCTCAGACTAGGTTTTGGTTCAAATAGTTTTTTACTAAATGCTTTCTATCTATTGGGACTAGATGATCTGGACCAACCAGTTATGACCCAGTCTAGGCGTCTAAGAAGTCAAAAAAATGAATAGTAACTGGAAACTTATATTACCATATTTCATTGAGATTTTCTGCTCAGAAGTAGCTTCCAAGAACTTGATTTCACTCTTGAGCTCCAGTTCCAACTCTTCATCACGTTTCATATTAGCTGTGACGGTGGCATCAGCATTGATTGAGGGAACAAGAAGTTGGACTTGCAGCATACCTTCCTTCATGGCCTTCAGACTGAAAA